TTTTTTTTTCTATGTTTGTCCCTCTGCCCTTTCCCACTCTCCCATTACACTATCTCTGCTATATACAGTTGTCTTCCAGAAGAATTATTGAAAAAGTGATACATGCAAGTAAAGGGAGAGGGGCCACGAGTTCCAATTATCAGCTCATAGAGTTTTTACCAATAGGGAACATAGATTCTATTCCGGGTTGGATCAAGGGAGGGTCTCCTGCAGATCCACAAGTGTAGGTGAGTCTCCAGGGAATGCAGTTTCAGGAAAGCAGTTCTGGTACGCAGGGATGATTATTAGCTGATGCGGCACAGCAGTCATCTTGTAGTTACCAGGAATGGTGTTGTGGGCATCTGCAGTGTGAGTTGTCCTCAGGCATCTGGCTTCCCCAAGAATGACAGAGTAGTTCTTGTTCTTCCCCAGGCAATGCAGGGCTGGCAACCATCATCTTCTCACTGTCCATAGGCAGAGAACATCCTCCCATACAATATACTTCTAAATTGGTTTAAGAGAGCCACAGTTTTTTTTTTTTCTGTTGCTTACAACTGCAAGCTCTTCATCCTTGTTCTCGGCCTCAGCCTGCCGCCTGCAGTCGACGGCCACGCGCAGGCCCGGTGGCCACTCGCAGACGCAAACTGGGTCATCCAGTGCCAGAGAGGCAGGGGGGACCAGGGCCCCGGAGGGGGCCCGGCCGTTCGGGCTCTGCGCCATCTTGAAGGGTGTTACATGAGGTGCTTGGAGTGAACTTTTAATGATGTCACAGATTGATCTTTTCAGTCTAGAACCACAGGCGGTATCTAAATTGCTTTTAGAAAAAAAATGAGTCGTGCCTTAGCGATTTCCACTCTTCGTGTTCTCTCATACTGTCAGGGCAAGGACCGGGAACCCTGGACAGATTGTGTCTGTAACCCAGTGACTGCGTTTTGAGGGCCAGCGGTTAATTTTTGACTTTTCGGCCCTTCCTGTTAGACTTCCGTGATTTGGCTTATTGACTTTATGTCTGTGGTGATTACAAAGAAAACTGGCTCCCAGATCTTATTGACCGGTTTTGAATTACATAGAAATATCAGCTATAAAGTCACAAACCAAATGTTCCTTAAAGGAGATGACCTGTGTGTTTAGGTTTGTAAAAAGCTAAAAAGAGAGAGACTAAGGCCCTGGGTCACACAGAAATGACCGTCCCCGTACGTGACATGGGTGGTAGAGGGACTAAGCCCCTGGGTCACATGGAAATGACTGTCCCCGTACATGATATGGGTGGTAGAGGGTCTAAGGCCCTGGGTCACACGGAAATGACTGTCCCCATACGTGATATGGGTGGTAGAGGGACTAAGCCCCTGGGTCACACGGAAAGGACTGTCCCCGTATGTGACATGGGTGGTAGAGGGTCTAAGGCCCTGGGTCACATGGAAATGACCGTCCCCGTATGTGAAATGGGTGATAGAGGGTCTAAGGCCCTGGGTCACATGGAAATGACCGTCCCTGTATGTGACATGGGTGGTAGAGGGACTAAGCCCCTGGGTCACACAGAAAGGACCGTCCCCGTCATGGGTGGTAGAGGGTCTAAGGCCCTGGGTCACATGGAAATGACCGTCCCTGTATGTGACATGGGTGGTAGAGGGACTAAGCCCCTGGGTCACGCAGAAATGACCGTCCCCGTACGTGACATGGGTGGTAACGCTTTGCTTACTGATACTCTAGAAAACAAGAGGTCCAAGTCCTGTCTTGAGAATAACAGCTTTTTTTACTTTTTTTTCTTTTGAGAAATTTTTGCTATAGGTCACATGCACTCAAGAGAGACAGAGAGAGACAGAGAGACAGAAAGTGAGAAATCACCTCCTGGGGGCATGGCCATACTGCAATCCCTTCCCCTCCATTCTCCTCTCAGTATTTCGGGTACACACGTGCACGTGTCTGGCATGAGTTTTAAGCCGCCAGGTCTGGGACTTGAACTGTGGTCGACTACGTGAGAGTCCAGGAACATGAACATTGTGCCATCTGCTGGTCCTGGTTTCCTTTACTTTTAATTAGCATTTATACTGGGAAAGTTAATTTTCTATGCTGTCAAGATATATAGTGATTAAATATAAAAAGTAAGAACAATAGAAACTAGTCTTGGTTTGGATTTTTGCATCAGAATGGGTTAAAAAGATACTTTGAGAAAAGAAAATTGTTTGACGTTCTGACTCTCAAGACAAACAGGCATTTGAGTTTTCACAGTAACAAAGCCCTGGAAGAATTACATGCATCTTTATAATTCTCTACACTGTGTCCACTCTCTGGAATCTTACCAGTAAGTGCTGGTGACACGGAGGTACATAGTGGGTCACTGCCACTCTCTGGAATCTTACCAGTAAGTGCTGGCTCACTGGGGGTCGTGACGCGTCTTTGCATGTGAAACAGGAAAATATGGCACAGCTTTCCTGACGATCTAGTATCACTAACAAGTTTTATATCACATAGATTCGAAGACTTAAGAATTTCGAGTCCTACTTATTTACTTAAATCTCTTTTCTTCTCAGGGAGAGAAGGGCTTTAATGGGTTGCCCGGTCATCCTGGTGATGAAGGTGGATATGTAAGTATCAGATCTCGTTTCTTTCCTTCGGAAAAATATGGCAATATGGGTCAGATATGAACCACACTTAATTGCCTTCAAGTCGTGAATGTTTTCCCCCTCTATGCCATTCAGAGTGGGTTTATATCTATTTAAAACCACCATTTATAACACGCGCCAGTCACTAGAAGTCGTTTAATGAAGAAGTGTCATTGTTTTGGTTTCTGTTTCCATTCAACATTTTTTATATTAATTTCATTCATGATCGAGAATGCGTGTATGTGAGAGAGAGATGGTGGGGACAGGCGTCCTCGACAGGGTCTGTCACGCTGCGATCCCTTCCCCTCGACCAAGCACACACGTGCCAAGTGCATTTCAGGCCAGCAGAGGGCGGGATGCAGACCACGTGGTCCGTGTGGCTTTCAGCACTGTGGTTCAGTTTGCTGCCACCTGTCCCGAGACTGGGCTCGGCTGTTTGGGCATCAGTGAACGTGACACAGCTGACGACGTGGTCTGAGTCTATTGTGCTTGCATGTAAGAGTAGTTGTTACCCATGAGCTAAACTGCAAGTAATCTGACTGTTCTTAAACTACCCGTGTGGGAATGAATGCATGACCTCCAAAACGTATGTGTTAAAATGTGTTTGTGGTTGTCACAGTATTAAGAGAGTGGAAACTTCCTGTACTGTGGTACTAAAAGGTAGAGCTTTCGAGAAGTGACTAGAGTTAGATAAGGTCATCAGAGTGAGGCCCCACGATTGAATACGTGTGACTTTTCAGGAGGGGACAGAGACCTGAAGACACATGCTTTTGCCCTCGTGCCGTACGATGCCCTGTGCTACTGCGGGCTCTGCAGAGTCCCCACCAGCAAGAAGGCTGTCAGCGTGCAGCCCCTTGACAGTGACTTCCAGAATTATGAGCTGAATCCATCTTTATTCTTTAAAATAAATTACCCAGTCTGGCATTCAGTTATAGCAACAGAAAAATGGATGAAACATCACGTTTCTGAGTGGTTTAGCAAAATGAACAGAAGAGATCCCTGACCATTCACATTGCAGATCACTCAGACCCTTCCTGGCTGGCTGGGAAGGTGACAGAGTTATAGTTAACCCCTGATGGTTTGCACATCGCCCTGAACACCCGAGGGATGTGCCGGGAAAGGGAAAGTTATTTACCATGGGATTGTCAGTGATGAAAAATATCATTACAGAGAGAAATGAGAGCCAGGGAACTGAAATCTGAGAGGGGCCATCTTCATTATGTCACTTAAATACCACAAGGATTTGAAATTACCATGACTTTTGGCCCATTCTGAGTTATGAAAAAACCACTTTGCTACAGATACCTATTTTAAAGCTGATTTGTTTAGGGCTTGAACCTCACGGTTAACCATGTGGGATCTACTGCTTTCACACTGTGCCACCAGGGGCCAGCAGATGGCGTAATGGTTACGTCGCTGGACTTCCATGTGGTCAACTGTAGTTCGAGTCCCAGACCTGGTGGCTTAAAAGTCACACTGGGTGCATGTGCATGCGTGCCCAAGATCCCAGGAGAGTGGGGGAAAAGGGATTGCAGCATGGCCATCCCTCTGGGGGGGATTTCTTGCTTTCTGTTCCTCTGTCTTCCTGGTGAGCACATGGGCACTATAGCAAAACTCTCTCTTAAAAAAAAAATGGAGATCTTGTTATGGTGTGTGCTAAGTTGTATCCTTAAGAAGCTACCAGGAAACAGAAGGGCAGTTGGGTGAGCCAACGGAGCAGGCTCCAGGGGTGACAGACGATCAGTGTGCCTTAGCCACGTGTAGGATTTCTCCCTAGAAGAAAAACGGTAAGTAGTGATTTATTCCTTGTGGGACCACCAGGATGCCTCTATCCAGTTTTAGCTGTCTGAAGTAAATGTCCAAACACATTTCTGTTTGATTCTATTCTGAAGCTTTGCCCACGCGCTTTACTGAATCGGTCAAAAGTATAGCTAGTCCGGGTTCATGCACTTTGGTGTCTTCGGTGCAGGCAGTTGGTAAGTGAGCCACCTGCTACCTTGTGGTGACCTGCTCAGCTCTCCGAGGACATGAAAGTAACTGCAAGGCCTCTCTGCGACTTCAGTCGTGACAATGGTCGTTACTGTCGGATCGAATCGTCTGGGGCTCACAGAGATGCTCATTCTGTCTTCATGTGTATTTTTATTTCTCAGGGAGAAAGAGGTCCCCAGGGTCTTCCTGGACTCCGAGGTGACCACGGCTGCCCAGGTGCGAGGGGACCCAAGGTGAGCGTGGCCATGAGCTCTGCAATGTTCCCCTTTCTTGGCTTCACCCCTTGAGTTAGGAAACTTCATTTTTCCACATAGTTATGGAGTCTTAACCCTTCAGGTGCTCCTCAGATGGAAGGTTCTGACCACACTGACCGTGTTCAGTATACTCTAGCGAGTCAGTAAGTCAGCTAACGGGTCCTGCTCTTCCCAGCAGCCCGCCCATGCTGCTAGCTGGTGCGTTCTCATTTCCACTTGAAGAGCATGCTCATCATCGTGCCAGGCCATGCTGTCCCCTGGCCAGCCCTAGCCCTGTGTGAAGAGTTGCAAGGTCCAGTTTCCCCCAGGAAGGGCCTAGCAGCAACGGCGGTGCAGTTACGCCCGCCAGGTTTGCCGAGAGGCCATCTTCATTTTGATCTCGTCAATGTCACACGTGGTTGCCTAAATGAGACAAGGGCTTAAAAATCTCATTCAACTTCAATTCTTGTTGTTTCTTCTTAACTTTAGGGAGCAAGAGGATTTTCAGGAGAGAAGGTAGGTAACCTCCTCTCTCTTCCTCGATCACGGAGAGCACTTTCTTTGGGAAATGCAGTACTGAGTCTAATCACTTCTTTGAGTTAGATGAGCCTTAAAGTTTTCAGACCGAGGAACATGTAAGGTGATTTAACGGCCGAAGTCCATGCTCACGGACGACTGTAAGATGCGTATTTCAGGTGTGATGTAACCATCACACCGTCTGCTGGTCCCACCTCCCGTGTAATTCTAGCCCAAGAGTTTGGTGTACTGATCTTCAGGCACCAACTCAGTTATACTTTAGTTTTAAAACATTTCCGAAACTTGGTTTCCTTGTGTGGATAGTTGGAATAAAGCAGTTCTTCCATGCACACTCAGTGTGCGTTGTCTTCATTCTGCCTGCGACATTTCTGACTGGCTGTCCTCCGAAGATGCATTATAATGCATGTACTGTCATTTCAACTTAGATGACAGAGTGAAGACTTAGAAATGGAGCAGGGGTCCCATGTAGCTGTTCATTTTTACGCTTAGCAGCAAGTTAGCCTTAGTTTTTCTGTTTCTTTTTAAAAATAATTTCCCCCAATGCAGACGTGTCTGCACACCCATTTACTTTCTGTGGATCTGTGGGACTCCAGGCTCCGTTACGCGGTTTAACGCAGACGTATTCGCCAGTCTTCTTAAACTAAGGAGGCGTGATGGTGCAAGGGCCACCTTAGCACATTACAGCCAAGGGGGTGTGTCGCTGAGTCCCGTGAGAGTTACTCATGCCCAGAGCAAACATTGACGCCAAGCCTTTCACATTGCTGAAAACTTTTGAGGGCTTTTCTTTGTAGTATTTAGTGCCTGAAACTGTCAGGAGAATCAGTGAGTGGTCCTAACGATTGCATCATAAAGAAGTAATCATGGCTTTGTGCTCAGTGGACGCACGGATAGATGGCATTTCAGTAGGTCTGGATTCTTCTAGCAGCTGAAAACAACATCAGCAAGGAAGCTACCACAAAAGCTCACATACAGCTGCTTCCCTCGCCTTGAGCCTGTGCTGTCTCTGCTTCACAGGGTGACTTGGGTGACGAAGGTGCGGACGGGCTACACGGCGAACAGGTACAGAACGTCCAGTCGGTGCTCCCCCCACGTCGGCGTTTCCACTCTCAGAGAGATCGGTCCAGAGATCTTAGCAGGAGTGCTCAGCAGTGTTCAAAGTCGATCTGTGTGCTTCCTTAAGATACTAGGGCCCCAGGAACGTTACTGTAGCCGTCCTCGCCCGTATGACACGTGACTGCCCAGTGCTTTCCCATCTCCCGTTAGTCTAGCGGCTGCACGTTGTTATTGTGACTGGTTTACGACCCAGAGCTTGCCTAGCTTCACTCAGATTTACTGTCGCCGACACCTCCCTCTCGGTATCATCGGAGCCTGTCAAGAACATGAGAAGCTCTGGTGTCTCTTACCCAAGGCACAACTTCTAGAAGTCCCTTTAATGAAGGCTGGCCTGTAGCCAAGAGGTTAACAGAGCTGGAGCCACGTGGCCAACCATGGTTCTAATCCCAGCCCTGGTGGCTTGAAAAACACACCAGGCATGGGTATGTGCATGCCCGAATCCCGACAGGAACAGAAAAGGCCTCGGCCCATGCCCCATGGGAAGGGTACTTTCCACCTTGCTCGCTCTCTCAGTCTCACTGTCTCTGTCTGGTGAGTACACGTGCCCTATAATTTTAAAAGAGAATTTCTGGGGCCCGCAAGTGGTGTAGCAGTTACATCACTGGACTCCTACATGGCTGACCGCAGTTCGAATCCCAGACCTGGCGGCTTGAAAATCATGCTGGGCTGTTGTGCACGCGCAAGATCCTTGGAGAAGAATGGAGGAGAGGGATTGTGGCGTGGCCATCCCACCTCGGGAGGTGGTTTCTCACTTTCCCTCTCACTGTGTCTGTCTGCCTTGTTCTCTCTGGGGAGCGCTTGTGCTTTAGGACAAAAATTTCCTTTGAAGGTCAGTTCATTTTGGACTCTTGGTTTTCATCTCCCTGGAAATTTCCTTATTTTACTCTTTTTCTAGAAAGATATTTCATTGGACAAGCAATTCTGTGTTGATGGTGCTGGAAATGTAATTTTATAATCTGCTTTCTTTTGTCTTATCTTTCCTTGTTGAGAAGAAGTAATCTGTCAAAATAACCGTCCCCTTTGTAAGCAACGCTTTGTGAATATTTATCAGGCTGCTTAGAAACTTCCCTGTAGATTTAGTTTGGGGCAGTTCCAATATGTCGCATCCAGGGGCAGATTCCTTTTCATTTATGCTGCTGGGGACTTGTTAGGCTTTTGCATTTGAATATTTATGCCATATGTAAATTTTAGAAAATCTTTAGAAAATTGTCATTTTAAAGTTTTTATGTTTCATATTTTCTCAATAATCTTTTATGGAAACCTAGTTAGAAAATTGTGAGACTCTCACTCCGCCTTCACTGTCTCTTAATTTCTCTTTCACACTTTCTACTTCTCTGTCTCTACAGTCCAGTCTGTATAATGTCTTCAGTTTCCAATTCACTAATTCTCACCTCAGTTGCATTTAAAATTTTATCCATTGGATTTTTCATTTCGGTTAGATTTTTCTCTTCACGGAATTCTACTTCATTCTTTTTCAAATCTACTTGGTCATTTTTCATTGCTTGTTGTTTTACTAATTCTTTTACTTACTAAAATATGCCAAGCATTTTATATTTTGCATCTAAGAATGCCAGTATCTGTAGTCACTATGGGTCTGAGTTTGTTCTCTATCGTTTCTGCTGGCTTCTCCTTCGTGGGGTCTCCCTCATGTGGACTGTGACTTCTGATCGAAGCTCACTTTAAAAATGCTGTGTACTGAGCCAGTCAGTGGTGTGGTGGTTCAGGCAGCTGCATTTCACATGGCCATTGTCACAGTTCTAGTCCCTGGCCCTGCAGCTTGAAAATCATGCCAGGCCCACATGCATGCACGCCCCAACACCCCAGAAGGAGAAATGGAGAAGGGATTGTAGCATGGCCATTCCCCATGGGGGTGCTTTCTGACTTTCCCCCACTCTCTGTCTCTCTCCACTGAGTGCATGTCCCACTAGCAAATTAAAAAGAAATGTATTTACTTCTTCCACAAATGAGAGAGAAAGACAGACAGACAGAGAGACAGGCAGAGATGGCACCCTCCAGGAGTCTGGACACTGAAATCCACCAGCAGCTCCAGCCGGCCCCAGACCACGGGCTTGCGTGTGCCTGGCATGCTCTGCCCAGAGACATCTAACGTGAACCCAGAATGTTCCCATGTAGGACGGCCTTAGAGTGTCATGTTTACTCCTGCACCACCATCAGATCCCAGCTGAAATTCGTATTTGATGAACCTGTATCAGTGAGAAGTCATTCAGGTCAAAGCGGAGGCTGCTTGCTTCTGCCATGTTCCCAGTGGCCCCATATCCCAGGCCAGTAGAAATAAATTGTCAGCGTAAGGTTTTACCACATGCGCGCGCGCGCGCACACACACACACACACACACACCTCATACGAAGTCCCCAGAACAGCCAAGAGCTATTACATCTCTGGATTCCTGCCTTCTCTTTATCCTAAACTCCAAGATAGATCTTTCTCTTTGTCAGCTCACGAATGTATGTGAAGTATATTTTAACTTCTCGGAAATTTTCCATCGTTTTTCCGTAGGAGGATTGTTCAGGGTATCTAGTCTATTACATTGTCAGAGCGGTAACGAGACTTTCTACTCTTAGCTAGAACACAAAACTACGTGGAAAAAGGCTTTTGAGGTAACTAGAATAACTAAGATTTGATGTATGTATATTTGTTTTTCTAGGGTGATCGTGGAGTCCCGGGGTTATCTGGAGAAAAAGGGAATACGGGAAACCCGGTAAAGTATGAGTCTGCTCTCTCACTTCTCTCCTGCGTAAACTGCCATGGGTGGTTTAGTCTTAAACTGCGGGAAAGAACCCTCTAGAGGCTTAGTGATTAGCTTAAGCGTCAAGGTGATCAGTGGCGGATGGCTGCTTGGAAGCTCCCCTGAGGCCTGGCTTTGCTGTTAATGAAATGAAAGGTGTGAACGCGGTGACCTGGCCCTGGGCTCTGGAACGCCCGTCAGCCATCCTCGGCTCCACGAGCTTTCTGTGGCTCCATTGCCAATGAAGAGTCTCACCTGCAAGGCTTTCGACCGCATTCTTCACGAATCTCGGTGAGGTGTCCTACTTAGCCAAATCGACCCAGGCATTGCCCCTGAGTATTCCTTATGCCCTCTGCATTCTTGCCAGATGCCCTTCCTGGAAGGCCCTTCCCTGCTCTGTCTTCTGTGCCTTTTGAATGTCTCTGCTTCGACATCTAGCACCTCTTTCCTCCCATGATGGCTTCTTTGACCATGTCAGTCTGTAGCAATCTCCTTTCTCTATATCCTTGTAACTTCCTCTGTTCGTACTATCTCCTTGGCAGCGACCACACACTGCCTCACGCTAGTAGATGTACTTCTGTACAAGGGAAGGCCGAGGTCTGGCACATGCACTGCGATTTCCCTTCTGCACCCATGGCAGACATTACTAATCAAGTATGGAATCTAGCACGGCTGCAGGATCCATTGCAACACACTACTGTAGCCAGCTGCTGTTGATTAATAGGACTAGACATGGGGATGCTTCTTTGTGCTCCTGGTGCTTCCCCCACGGATGCACAATCAGTGGTGGGAATTAGTTTCCTGGTAAGTGAAAAAGTTTTTGGTGTAACTAATGTAACAAACATTGTATATGTTTTAGCTCTCTATTTCTTTCTCTGCTGTTCTTTTTCTAGGGTAATTGTGGAAATCCTCTATTTTCTTTTTCTTCAGATAACCCTGGGATTCCACAGTTATCCTGGGGGGGGCTATAAAAATACACACACACACACACACACAAACACACACACTTTTTGTTACCGTAGTCACACCAAAAACTTTTTAAAAGTAGTTTCACATTCTAACCAATAGTATCAGTCCTTTTCCAAAATCTGATACATTTCCAGATCACATTTCCTTAACACTGGAGAGCCTTCAGTTTCCTTCAATGTAGTTAAATTCAGTAACAACGTATCAGTGTTTCTAACCCGGGGGACATTTTGCTAGCTATAAAGAAGCGTTTGAAGATGAATAAGGCATGGCTGTGACCACGGAAGAGCTTACTGGTGGCATAGGAGAGCAAATCTGCATGGGAAGAGCTGTGCCCCAGGACAGGGTCACATGAGGCTGCAGGGATGGTGCAGATAAAGAGTGGACGCAGCACCGTGGCTGGGATGGGAAACGAAAGGTTGACTTCTCTTCATCTGGTCATCATAAAAAATGGGTTGGGTGTTTATATTATACAGATGTGATTCTAGAATGGGGAGTAAAGTGAGCATAGGCTTTGTGTACATGGAGTGGCTTCCAAGGGAGGGACCAGCGTCAATCCTAAGTCAGTATTGAAGTACTAACCCACAGCTAGGAGTCTGCCCCTGAGGGGAGAGCGTGGGGCAGAAGCAAGAGGGTCTCTAACCAGCCTGTGCCATACGAAAGGCTTCATCGAGAACGTAAAGTGGATTGAATTTAAAGGGAAACCAACAGGTAACCATGCAGTGAGGGCCGAGAGGGCAACCTTTCTCACTCAGGCCCGTGGCATTAAGCGGGTGCTGGGGTGCAGAGGACTCTGCATTTCAGGCCCGTGGGAGATCACAGCCGTCTCACCTGCTCTCTGCGAGAGGGAATGCAGGGGAGGCACAGGGTGGGAAAGGACGTGGAAGACTGAGAAGAACGCAGGATTTCAATCTAACACGAGCGGAAGATAAGATGGAAAATCGAGAGTGCAAGGAAATTCTGAAAGGGTGAACTAGAGTGAATTCGATGCCACGTGCAGGAATTGTGCTTTTGTCTTCTGGGTGTGCAAATGCTATTGAAGGTCTCCAGGCAAAGGAGACTCATTTGAGCCTGTAAGTTGGAAGACTGCTCTGGAAGCCAAGTGTCTGGGTCAAAACTGAGAAACTAGGACAAGTCCCATGGGCTGGCGGAAAGGGAGCCAAAGCACAGGCCAGCTGTGTGGTCTGAACCCTAGCCCCGCACTTGACAAACACGCTGGGTCATCGTGCTTGCTCTGAGTCCTGGCACGGCGAGACCATGGAGGAAAGGGCTAGTGTCATGGCCACGCTCCACTGGGGTGCCTCCTCCCTCCCGTCTTTGTCTCTCTGTGTCTCTCTGGTGAGTGCACCCTCTCTGGCAAATACAAAAATACGAGGAACTAGAATTTAGGGTAATAATTGTAATTCAGAATAATAGAATTTTAGGCTTTGAACTAAGCATGTTAATTCATTGTTCTATTGAATCCCTACAATAGCCTTCTAAGTTAGGCACACCTGCTTCAGAAGTAAGGAAACAGATCTTAGAAAAGGTCAAGGAGGGCCCAGCAGGTGGCGTGGTGGGTACGGTGCTGGACTTCCACGTGGCCGGCTGCAGTTGGAGTCCTGGCTATGGCCGCTTGAGGATCACGCTGAGTGTGTGTGCATTTGTGCCCAAATCCTGAGGGGAGAATGGAGGAGGAGGGATGTGGCACGGCACCCCTCAGGGGTGGCATCTCACTGTCCCTTTCTCTGTTTCTCTCTGGCAAACGTACGCACCCTGTGGCAAAAACCTAAACAATGAAAATGAAAGTCAGGCACTGTGCTGTGCACCTCGCGGCCCTGTGCGGTTTCTTCGCCACTCTCGGTCCGCTCTGCAGCCTCAGGAGCTCTGGAAGCGTTTTGCCTCCTTCCCCCCTTCTTCCCGAGGTCCATGGTGGGGAAGGCCTCCTCCCTTCTTCCCTACCCCTGGTT